TTTTTTTAAGCCTTTGACGGCGATGTAAATACCACCCCTCCCCCACCCAAACGTGGGCGAGCCCCGCAGCTTTACTTTATTAATTTAGCCGTAGTCCGATGGCAGAGCGCTAATCCCAGCGTTTCATCCCGTTTGCGTTTCTGAATAGAGGTGGGGTGCGAATTCCGGGAGTGGGGTCATTATACTCCGTGCTGAATGTAACTTTGATGTGCTATACATTCTTCCAGTGTGCTGCTCTGTTCCCAGTAATTACCTGCCTCGTTCCCGCACGTTCGTGCATTTGGGTTAAATTCTACATCTCTGGAGAAAATATATGGGCGTTTTAATACGGAAGGTGTGTGTGTGTGTGTGTGTGTGAGAGAGAGAGAGAGAGAGAGAGGTCTTGGACTGTTCATGGTATTTCTGGACTCCCTTATTTACTGCATATAACCATTAAAATTTAAATGTGACTTATCACCTATTCTTTCACAAAATTTCATATTTTAAAGAGAATTTACTTCCATTTTTTTTTCTTTTGAAGAGATTTTTTGCTATAGGGTGTGTGCACTTGCCAGAGAGACAGAGACAAGGTGACAAATCAGCTTCCCTCCCAGGAGGAATGGTCATGCCACAATCCTTTCTCCATTCCTCTCAGGACTGCGGCAGTTTCAAGCAGCTAGATCTGGGACTCAAACCGGTGGTCAGCCATGTGGGAGTCCAGTGCCTTAACCACTACACCACCTGCTGGCTCCTTCAAAAAAAAGAAACACAATTTCTTAAAAGTAAGGAATTGTCAAAGTACTTTAAAGGTATTCACTTGGAATAAAAAAAATCTCTGAAATTCCAATCATGGAGATAAAATATTTCCTAAATTGTAATATATAAATCTGTGATTTTAAAAACAGTCCCAGTTAAATTTCTTTTCTAATGGTTACAGTGTGTTACTTAGTGTGTCCAAAGATTACTTGGAGGTAATCTTAGTGTATTCCTTTCTATCTTGGTTAGTGCTATTTCCTTCCTTCGTGTCATTGATTTAGTTGTTAGTTTGGCAACATGGCTGTTGATGTTTTTTATCTTTCTCTGTCTCCTTTTTTTCTCTCTTGTCTTCTCTTACCCCCACCAGGTGCTGGAGTCTGCTTATCTGGGAGGGGGGCAGTCTGAGAAAAGAGCCAAGAAGGGGAACTGCAAATTGAGTCACAAACCGTCCTCCACTCAGTCAAGAGCCACTTTTCTCTTCCTGCCTTTCCCCCTGCAGGGGGTAAGGAGCTGAGTAACCTTTAGCCCAGCTAAAATTCTACTTATCTTAATTTCTAGTGAATAGCATTCTTATTTTTCCTGTGTTTCCATAGAGTCCCTTATGAATATTTGTCAGTAGTAGTATCTGGGGGTGGAGGAGAGAGTGACAAGAAGTTTTCTCTTTTATCCCCCCTTCTTATTCAGTTGATCCTTTTCCTCTCGAGAGGAAAAATATTAACAACATCTCACAAAGCTTCTAATACTTCTCAGCCATATTGTGAAGAAAGACACTAAAGTGGACATTTTCTCTGAGCCAGTGAGCATACACCATGCCTCAGAGATTAGTTTGGGGCACATGGAGAAACATACTGTAAAATAATCCCCAGTTCCTCCTTTTCTCAACTTGTATCCTCCTGGGATTTGCTGCTGGGGTAAGTCACTAGATGTATTTCTCAAAGGTCCCCCCTCTATGAGCTGGAAGACGAATGGACCATGAATACTGCTGGGGCTGGGGGACGGGGACAGAGAGAGCTAGTTGTCCAACACTTTGGGAAACGAGTAGTTTTTGTCATCTTCTGGGGAGCAGGCATAGAGACATACACTGAGTGAAAATGGGTGGAGGAAGAACTTCTGTACCCACGAACAACATGTGAAGAGAGAGAGAACCAAACATAAAGTAAGGAGGGTGAGTTTTATTGTATATTGCTTGCTGACAATTGTTTTGGGGGCACTTCAGTGATTTGGATTCACAGAGAAACTTTATTTTATGGTGAGTTAGTTTACAGAGTACTCTGCACGTGGAAGTAAGCCATAAGCTTGGGAGAAAAGAACCTTTAGAAACGGTAATAGTTATTTTAAAATCTGAGGGAGGAGATCATGATAGCAACGGTGCAAAAAGTATTATTTTTAAATGTTTGCGGTGCGACACGTGCAGTTGTTTCAGGAGAGGTTGAGTAGGGAGATCAGGTACAGATGTTGGGGAAATCGTCTTTCATTACTTGGAATATTCCTGTTTGTCCTATCAAGATGGTTAAGAAATAATACAGTACCTCCAAAAATGTCTACATGGTGCATTTTAGATTCATGTGCCATATGTATCTGTGTATGTCTTAGATTTACAGAAAAGGAAGACTGACTTTCTGGCTTCATGGTAACTAATGCCATGGTGTTATTTTTAATGTTTTCTTTTCCAGTGTTTTTTTTTTTTTTTTCCCTCAAAATTGGCTTGAAGGACAAAAGCCACAGAGCTAGCCAGCTGTACTCCCTTAAAGGCTGGTCTGCATGTAATCCATCTGCTTATATCTTTTTTTTTTCTTACTGAAACTATGCTTCCTCCGAATGTTAACTGTTAACAAAGCTAATTATTTCACTATCAGTTTTATGTTGACGATAGAAAGTAGCATTAGGCTTGATTTTCTTTTCTTTTGTTTTTTATTAATTTTTTTCTTTTTTAAAAGAGAAATTAAAAAATAAATTTTAAATTTTGACAGCTACAGTGAGGCTTCATGGAGATACACATTGCCTAGTATTTAGTATTGAACTATTGATAGCTGTCTTTTTGGTATTCCTTTATGACTTGATATAGCAGATTCTTTTTTTTTTTAAATAATTATTTTATTGAACTTTATTTATTTATTTATTTATGTTAATTTGACCAGAGAGGGACAGAGTGAGAGAGAGAGAGAGAAAAAGCCGCCAGGTCCAGGACTCGAATCATGGTCTGCCATATGGGAGTCCAACTCTCTTAAACACCACGCCACCTGCTGGCCCAGATAATAGCAGATTCTTAAAATAAGTCCTATCCTTCAACTTCTCAGTCTATTGTGTTATCAGGTTCGGTGTTGCCCACAGTGGAGAATAAAGCAGATATGACTTCTAACTTCATGAAATTTACAGTCTGCTTTCATTGATTACTTTATTATTTTTATTTATTTATTTTTTTGGAGAGTATTTTTTTGCTATAGGGTGTGTGCACTCACAAGAAAGACAGACAGACAGAAAGCGAGAAATCATCCCCCAGTGGGGGATGGCCATATCACAATCCCTTCTCCTCTCAGGATCTTGGGCACTCACGCACACGCACCTAATGTGAGTTTAAGCCACTGGGTCCGGGGCTTGAATCGTGGTTAACTACATGGGAGTCCAGCAACATAGCCATTACGTCAACTGCTGGTCCCTCATTATCCCTTTTTTTTTTTTTTCTGGAGAGGTTTTTGCCATAGGGCGCGTGCACTTGCCAGACAGAGACAGACAGACAGACAGAAAGCAAGAAATCACCCCCCAGGGGTGATGACCACGCCGCAGTCCCTTCTCCGTTCTCCTGGACACGTATGCTTACGTGCCCGGCATGAGTTTTAAGCCACCGGGTCCGGGATGCAAACTCCGGTCAACTACATGGAATCCAGCGACATAGCCATTACGCTAACTGCTGGTCCCACTTTTAACTTTTCATCGGCCAGTCATTCCTCCCCGCAGTGTCTGGAGGGTCTACTAGATTATCATGAAATGTGTACCAATTTGAATTGAAGAGTTGGCAAAACAGAAATCTAGTTAAAAATTTATATGCCTGATTAATTTTACTACCTTTTTCCCCCCAAAAAAGACAATACATCTTCAAGTTTGTGACCAAAAAGTTCCATAAATGTTTTTACTCTGTATTCAGCTTCTTACATTCCATTTCTTTTTTATCTTTCTGATACTAGCTCTTGGCTTAGTGTTCTTACAAATTTAGAAATAACATCTCCAAAATAGAACATGGAGTTACTATATAAGATCAGACCACTTATTTCTTACTACTCTGCTTTCCCATTTTGGGAAGCATTTGAGTATTTGATACTTTATCAAAAAACTGCCTCTTGAAAATTCATGTGAGTTTGCCCAAATAGCAGTCTTGGAATTCTTCTTTTACTAGAGTTCTCAGTTGTTAGCTTATTCCTTTGTTTTTAATTTTATTAAAAAAAAAAAAAGTTTGTGCTATAGGACGTGTGCATTTACCAGAAACAGAAGCAGGTAGAGAGAGAGGGGAAAGTGAGACATCACCCCCCAGGTTGGATGGCCACACCATGATCCCTCCTTCACCAGTTTCCTCTTGGACATGTGTGTACACACAACATGACTTTTCAATGTTCTAGGTCTGGAACTTGAACCAAACAGCCCTGTCAGCCATGTGGGATCCAGCATCTTAACCTCCATGCCACTTGCTGTTCCTTAGTTTGTTCCTTTGACAGATGATATATTGTAGTTAGCCATATCCGAAAAGCTTTGGACTTGAATAAATGAATAGCTTTTTGTCTTGTTAAAATTATTATTCTGGGGCCAGCAGGTGGTGTGGTGGTTAAGGTGCTGGACACTCCCACTTGGCTGACCATGGTTTGAGTGCCAGACTTGGTGGCTTAGGCTTACTTTCTCACTTCCCCTCTCCCTCTCTCTCTTGGTGGTCAAGTTAAAATAAATGAATGAAGGACCAGCAGTTGGCATAATAGCTGTGTTGCCTGGACTCTTACGTTGTCGACCGTGGTTTGAGTCCTGGACCCAGTGGCTTAAACTCAAGCCAGGTGCATGTGCGTGCGCGCCCAAGATCCCAAGAGGATAATGGAAGAGAAGGGATTGCAGCGTTTCCATCCTCCCTGGTGGGTGATTTCTCACTTTTTGTCTCTGTCTTTCTGGCAAGTGCAGATGCCCTATAGCAAAAACTTCTCAGAAAAAAAGAAAAAGAAAAAATGAATGAGTGAATGAATGAAATCATTCTAAAATATATATATATATATTCTTTTGGCCAGAGGTATGTGTGCTTGCCAGAGACAGACTTGGAGGAGCAGGAGAAAGCGCCTCCTGCATCCCCCTATGGGGAATGGTCATGCCACAATCCCTTCTGTTTTGCTCTTCTTTCAGGATTTTGGGTACCTGTAGACAAGTGCTTGGTGTGTGTTTTAAGCTACTGGGGCCAGGACTTGAACCATGTGGTAAGCCATATGGGTTCCAGCTCCCTTAACCACCAGGCCATACATAGACTGGCCCTCTTTAACATTTTGAAAATAATTTCTTTCTTTTGTGTGGGACAGTGACAGGGAAACAGGCACTCCTCAGTGAAGTCCTCATGGCCATGACTCACCCTTTGTCCAGCCAGCCTGGACCAGAAAAGCATCTGTGTACAGCTGACATGCTCAGGGAGGTACCAGTATGTGAACACAGGACCTTTCCTGTGTGGGTTCAGCTGTGTCACACTGTGCCATCATGTTGCTCTCCAACTATTTTTCAAAGTAATGTCTGGAAAGAAAATTTGGTGGGAAGGCCTGACATTTATATTATAATCTCTACTGATTATTGTATCTCAGGAACCTTTTCAAAATTTGTATTATATTTCAGAACTACTTTTTAAAATATTTATTTATATTTATTTATTTCAATTTGATGGGGGTGGGATGGTGGGAGGAGAGAGAGAGAAAGCAAGCTGCCAGGTCCGGGGTCAAACCACTATTGGCCATGTGGGAGTCCAACGCCCTTAACCACCACGTCACCTGCTGGACCCCAGAGTTACTTTTTAAAATCTGCAATTGGGTGCTTGTGCTCTCTAGGAGAAAGAGAGAAAGTGAGAAAGCACCACCTGGGAGGATGGCCATGCTGCAATCTCTTTTTGTCCATCCTCCTCTCAGGATTTTGGGCACGCATATCGGTCTTGACTTTCAAGCTGCCTGGTCTGAAACTTGAACCACACAGCCAGGCATGTGGGATCCAGTGCTCCAAACTCTACGCCACCTACTGACCCTTTCAGAGATTTTATTTTGTATGTAACTTTTCTCTGTTAAGTGAAATTATTAGAAACTTCATTTGGGGACCAGCAGCTAGCATAATGGCTTTGTCACTGGATTCCCATGTAGTCGACTCTGGCTCGCGTCCCGGACCTGGTGGCTTAAACTCATGCCGGGCACGTCGTGTGTGTGCGTGCCCAAGATCCCGAGGTGAGAATGGAGGAGAAGGGATTGCAGCGTGGCCATCCCCCCTGGGGGGTGATTTCTCGCATTATCTCTCTCTGTCTCAGTCTGTCTGGCGAGCGCACGCGCCCTATAGCAAAAAAACCTCTCCAAAAAAAAAAAAAAGAAACTTCATTTGGATTCCATAGAAACTTTTTTTTTTTTTTTTTTTTTTAGTTTTTACCATAGGGCATGTGCTCGCTAGAGACATACAGAGAAAGGGAAAGCGAGAGATCACCCCCCAAGGACGGGGTGGCCACACCACAGTCCTCTTCTCCATTCTCTTCTTTGGATTTTGGACATGCACGTACATCTTCCCACTGTAATTTTTTCAAGCTACCTGGTCTGGGGCTCAGACCGTGGTCAGCCATGTGGGAGTCCAGTACTTTAACCACCATGCTACCTATGGGCCTTCAGAACCATATTTTTTTTTTTAAGTTTAGTAGGTTTTATATACTATTTTAAGAATTTTAGTAACTACCTGTAATTTAGGTGACAGTACCATTTGAAGTTTGCAGTTAACTTATTCATGACTTTTCCAGTTTTCTTTTTGTTGTGGTAAAATACACATAACATGTCCATCTTATCATTTTATTAAGGTATATAATTTAGTGGTATTAAGTATGTTCATTGTGTTACATACTCATTTCTATCATCAAGTTCCAGAATTCCTTAAGTCTTGGAAAACTGGACCTCTAGACCCATTAGCCTCTTG